CTAAATATTTATTAATGATTACTAATTAGTAGTGGAGTTTATTTTTTATATTGCCCACCTATTCTATAGAACATCCTTGTATTACAATCTACTTTGTAACATTTTCCTCCTCTTAAAATTTTACTCCATAAAATCTAAAACTTCTAAACTTGATTTTTACTAAAATATAAAAGTGTATTGAAACTAGTTTCTTTTAGATTATTAAAGTTACTAACTTTAAATTTCTTTGTCTAGTAAATATGGTTATAACTACAAGCTTAAAATAGATAAAAAATCTATTTATAGATTTTAGCCTAGTTTTTCTTAATAGTAGTATCAATAGTTGCTTCATAATACTATAAGAGGCTTTTATATAAAAAGCATATACAAGAGTATGAATTCAACAAAGATTTTTAATTTGCTTTTGTTTTGGGCAATAGGCAATTACAGCATTTTATTTTGCTAAGATTTCTGCAAGCTGGTCATTAAAGTCCGATTTCTTTGAGGTTGTTACAAGAAATATTTGGTTATTTTTATTAGATAAAAGATTAGCTTTGAATTTGGTTAATAGGTCTGTAAAAGTAATAGCAGTGTTGGAATCTGTAAGGATAGTACATGTGTAATTCAAATCCTGGATGATCATTGTGTTTCCAGAATCAACAATAATGGTCTCTGTGTAATTGAGACTGTTACACAGTTGTTGGAGTTCACACACCTTGTTATAGATTTGGAAATCAAACCAAGTTGGTAGAGTAGTTATTTTATAGTAAATTGTAGAGGGTTTTAGAAGTATTATTAAAAGAATAGATATTGAAATTGTTGGAATTAAAGCTAAAGGAAGGTGAATTTTTGTCCTTTAAATATCCATTGAAGTGGATATTCATACTATAAAATTGAAACAACTTTTCTATTTTGTTTAACCCATGCTTGTTCTTTGTGTTTTCAACATGTTACAATCTGTTTACACATGTTTTATTTTGTATTTCTTAATGTTTTGCAATTGTTTTAGCTATAGCTTGGCAAAACTTGACAAAAATTCTCAGCCTAGTATGTGTTTAAGCATTTTCTTTGTCTTTTCCTTCTTTAAAATTTGTAAGGTCCACTGAACTTCCATTTTAGAATGTCTAAAATTAGCTTCTATTTCTAATTTGTTTATCTTTATCTAAATTTGTAAATCACATCAGATTATTAAGATGTGGCGACTTAGTGTAGTGGTCTAGTCATCACCCTCTCCAAGTGGCAGGTCTAGAGTTTAAATCCTACTGGCGATAATATTTGAAAAATAGGTCCGTGTTCAGTTGACGATTATGCTTATCAGTTGAATCTAGAATCAAATTTGTAACTTTGGTTACACTATCTAGTAATAGGAGCTTTGGTGTAATAATCTGAGAAACCAGCATAACTGAAAACCTATTTGGCAAGTCCCAAATTTGGAAATAGCAGTGATTTTTAACGGTACCACAGGAGGGCTGAATTCAAACCAAGGCCTAAGATTGGAGAACCGAGCAACCAGGTTTACTAGTAAAGAATACACCAGCTGAACTGCCAGGTTGTTGCACTGGAGAAAAAGTGCATATATTCAAAAGTATAAACCAAGGGGGGTGTCCTTCAGACACCTAAAGCCTAGGCAGACTGACCCTTTCAGGTTGCTAGCTGAAAGTAAAAAAGAGATCAATAAAGAATCCAGGTAAGGAGACAGTTTAAATGCAGATATCAGGGTTGTTGTGAACTGAATAAAGGCAAGAAGTATGTAATGGGCACCTAGTTAAAAAGGTTGGTGCTTGAGAAATATCTGTAGAAAGACAACACCCCAAAAGGTGGTATGAGATACTAATACAGAGCAGCAGGTTAATATATACTAATTAGAAAGAAGTTATAGAAACATGCAAGTAAATACATGTGTGAGACATGTACCGCTCTGTTAGGTTTACCTTCGAGGATAGATTAACCATATATGGTTAGTAAGTTTTAATGATAGGGATTGACAAATCCAAATTGTGATTAGTAAGTCCTAAGGTAGGATGTGAAATTCACAATGGGTAAATCCGAAATCCACAAATGTATAGTAAGGAACACCCGGGGTTAGAGGGCTGATGGAGGTAGTTAAAACCAGATGGTTTAAATGGGTACCCCCCTAGTTGGGTGCAGGTATGGCAGATAGTGTAGAACCTTTGGGCAAACTACTTAAATTAGACACTCAAAAGGTGCACGTGTGGCTTGATGTACCATCATTGTAACTACATTATAAAACTTCATCTATACTCTAATAAAAAGTCCCCAGGCCAAAGAAGGTCACCTTAACACCAAAAAAAAAAAATCACATCGGATTATTCTAAATTTTAGGTTTGAGTAAAGATATCTCAACAACTATCTAACAATTTTAATAAAATTTTTACACTTAAATTCAAATTCTATAGGTTTATAAAAATAATTTTTATTAAAATTGGTTAGATAGTTATCAAGACATCTTTACTCAAAGTTTAAAAAAATTTGGCATAACTTCTATAATGATAAATATTTTAATTTTTTTAAAACTTTGAGTAAAAATGTTTTAACAACACAAATTTATGAATTCATAGAACTTAATAAAAAAATTTTGTGTAGCTTCTATTTTGATAGGTGGTTTAATTTTTTCATTTAAGTGTATAAACAGAAATTGGGTTATGCTTGGGATTTGGTTGCGTTTTGCCATAAGCAGAGTGATTCTAATTATAGCGAAAAAGAATGCACTTTGCGTTGATGAGGTTTGAGCGTGATATCGAATATGTATGTACTGTATGTACTGTACATATTCGGAACTCGTAAAAATTTGTGAATGATAAGCAGTGACCCTCCTTCTTGCATAAGACAAAAAAAAAGAATTGTCTAGTTTTAAATTTATATATTTACATAAGATATCAGTGACCTTCTTCTCTTTCCTTTCATAATATTACGAAAATTTGTCACCACCCTTAATTTAAACCTTTATAAATTCCGTTTACACCAATAAGAATTAATCAAGATTTTGAAAATTATTAATGACGACATTGTCTCTGTTTATCACTGTTTATTTTAAAAGTAACAAATACAGATAATACCGCAATATTCAATATAAAATACAGATAACGATAATGTTCAATGTAACCAGGGTCGCATGATATATATATATATATTTTTTTTGGTAACATGAGGTTTATTTTTTTTTGGTAGCATAATTTGACGATAAGAATAAAACAAGTTTAGCAAAAAAAAGTGACCAGTTTATCCGAATATTTTAATTTATCTATTATAAAGCAATATTATTATACTGTAAATGTGTAGTAAATATTTCGGTTATCGCAATAAATATCCATGAAACCCATGAAAAAAATTGTACATATAGTACAGTACTTCACAAACATTAATCATATGATGATATCTTTTTACATATAGAAATTTATAGAACGAATCATTCATTTAAAATGAAAACCATATAAGACGTGGTATACGTAGTTGGGTTAAAGATTAGCGATATGATTCCCTAAATCAATAACATATATATATACATAGTTCGATCGATATATTGTGAACCGATTAATAATGTGTTGGGAACACCTGATCTCACATGTTTATATATAAGTTAAGAATTAACAATATTAGCGTTACTAAATTTGATTATTTAATACCAGTACAAAGATCTCAATTAATTTCCAAAAATTATTAAAGTTAGGACTTAAGGTTAGCGTTAATGTTAGTGTAAGGTACAGTTTATGCCAAGAGTTTTTTTTTCAGAGATAAAGACCTTTCTATTATGATATGTGTTTAAACACCAATGGTATTGTATGTCAAATTAATATCTTCGTTACAAATTATTGTATAATACGCTAATTTCTAATACAGGCTTCCTAATGAAACTTTGAATTAAAATTTGATCTGATGCAAATATTATTTGAAACACAACAAAAAAAGAGAAATGATATCGTTAAAAAAAGTAACTATAAAAATTTTATTATCGAACAAATGAATTTGTATGAATGAATATTTTGTTTGCTTATTATCTATTAACACTAATTATTTAGGTAACATCTAAAACTGATAATCAAAATAGCGGACATTTTCGGGCATATACGATTAAGAATCTCAGAGGTTAATTCCGACTTTCAACATGTAAATAAATCAAAAATAGAAACAAATTTCAAATACTAAATTATCGTATTTATTATTCTGGCACAAGTACGTATTGTGAAAAACTTTTACATACATACATACATACATATACATTCACACATACACACATTCACATTCATACATACATTCATGCATACTTTTTGAATTACATTTTTATTAAAAGATTCTTAACTAATGCTATTTATTGGTTACTATAATTATTAACGTTAATACGTGTCTCGACGATTATTAGAACAAAGAATAGCATGAAATTAATCAAGCTTTCTTGATTTAATAACTTTAAAGACTTCCATTTCTTCTATTAAAAACTTATCTTTTGTTGTTCTTATAGAATCACCATAACAATTTTGTCTACAAAATCCTTCATTTGGGCTTTCTTCACATGAAAATTCCAAATCACCTTTACCAAAAGATGGACCAAACTTTACGCCATCATATATCGCAAATTTTCGACATCTTTGTTGAACTCTACTAACTTTAGGAGTCATTGTTTTATTAAATAAAACATTAAGACTAAAAATAAAACTATGATCCGTTTCTATATAATTATCTAGACTATTCCATCCAACAGGATTATATCCACCTATTATTTCTTTATTATTTTCTACATAACTTCTTGAAGATATTTTAAGTAAAACAATCACCGGTCCATTACCATCACATTTATTGTGAAAACATTCAAAAGAAAATGATGATTGACTTGCTCTATGTAATAAATGAAATTTTATATTACCAAATTGAATTCTACCATTAACTGATTTCCCTTCCATAGGATCTATCCAATTTGCGATTAAGGAAGCTTCTTTTGGTCCAATTATTAGAGAGCTTAAAAATTTTAAAATTTTTAAATTTTTTTTTTTTTTTTAAAATAAAAATAAAACTTGTTTAAAATATATATATATTATAAATCTTACTCAATATGATAAGGTGGTTTTCTTGGGATCAAAGATAAAGGTACGTTATCCAACTGTGATCTTGTAAAAGTATATCTCCAAGGAGTTGATTGTAAAACTTTAGGAAGAGTTGAATCATAAGGTCTTACATATTCATCAAATTCAGGTATTGAAATATCAGTGAATCTAATTAATGGAATTAATTTTGATATCTTCTTTTCAAGAATTGAAAAATCATCATCATTCCATTTAGTAACATCATCAGTTTTAATTGGTGAATTAGCGATACCCCATTTTATTAAATAATTCCAAATTTTTATTTCTTCTAATTTTAATTCATCTCGTGAAATAAGTGCTGATAACATTAATTCATTAATTGAAATAAAAAAATTGGATGAAAAAAAATTGGTTGGATCATCAGCTATTATATCAACACAAAATGATTGTAATTTTTTATAATGTTCATGTTGAAATGCGATTTCAATAACTTGATAAAGATGGTCTTTTAACCATTTTGTTTCATGAACAATGAAGAAATCTTGAATATATTCAAAGAGTTCTTCTAATCCAAGTTCGTCAAGTGCTTGTAAAAGTCCCAAAAGGTCTTTTGTTTCTCTATTATATAAATCCAGATTTCCTGTATATAGGTACCTTTTTTTTTTTTTTAAAAAAAAGAAAGTCATTTAAAAATTTTTATTTATAAAAAATTTTTTAAAAAAACTTACTTTAAAATTATTTCGAAAACTTTCGGGGAAATATTTGGTTTTTTAAAACTCATCATTTCAGAATTCTCGGTATCTCGTCTACGCCAATCATTTGATAAAGCTACATGAAAAAAATTACATCTTGAACGTAATATTACTGAATGAGCTTTAAAAGTTTTTTTATCTGATCCTTCACCGATTTCTATTAAAACATTATAATCATCTGCTTTTTCATAAAGTTTTGAAATATCGTTACGAAGTTTATCTAAAAATTGTGACATTTTTTTAAAAGAGTGAAAAAAAAAAAAAAAAAAAAGTAGGTTTGTAAAAATTAAGTAAAAGATGGTGTTTATCGTTATTTATATATATATATATATATTTTTAACATATTATTTGTTTCGAATGGATATCAATATAAACAGTATAAACAGTTTTACAAATAACCGATTTAAGTAAATTCCTTAATTTATACCTAATATTGCACATTTTTACGTATCAGAAAATACAACTTCTCTATCTTTTCATTTCTTTAAGTGCACATATTCAAAAAAAGTGCACAAACTTTAAACAATATATTCTTTAACTGCTACACACTTTTTTTTTATCACTCCCTCATTTTTTTTTTATCTCCCTCCAAGTAAAGGCCATGTGATCCATCATTTTTATGTCTGACAGTTGAAGTTGTGTTACGAATAATCAATCTTAAACTGTTACATGAAATTTTTACGTAAAATCTTTTGATTATTGAGTTACATATATTCAAAATCAAAAATGATACAATAATACTGGCCGATGGTGAAACACCGAATGTAGGGTTTGGTAGTAGAATTATATTATGAACTGGTCCTAACGTTAGCGTTAAGCCTAATCTGTATTTATGGAATTTATATCTTCAAATGACGGAAATTTCAGAAATTACGGAATTTTTACAGACATATATATATTTGAATAAAATTCTTTTATAGGGTTAGTATTTAATTAAGTTTGGTTCCTACTTATGATATAGGTAATACAGTAGTCAGACCTCTTTTTACAAAAAAGAAATCCTTATTGTCCAATGAAGATATTACAAATATCAAACTCTATACTATATTACAATTAATACAACAACCGAAAAGTGAATGACAAAAAAAAAAAAAAAAAAAAAAAAATGAGAAAAAAAAAAAAAAAATCTATTTCAAATTTTATATATTAGACTTAGTAAATCGTCAA